AGTTTGGGAGCTGAAGCACTGAGTCATTAACTGGCATTGAATATGCACCAAAGGAGAGAATGTCAAGCAGCTTTTCAAAACACAGAGAGAAGAAACTGGCACCAAACAGCCAAAAGCTGGAAGGGTTCATAAGAGCTTGGCTACGTGGCTTTACACATGAAATAAATTAACATAAGAAGAGCCCTGCTGGATCAGACCAGTGGACCATCTAGTCGAGCATCCTGTCTTATACAGTGGCCAATCAGTTCCTCTGGAGGGCCAACAACAGAGCACTTTCCCTAATGTTGCCTCCTGGCTCTGGGATCCAGAGGATTAGTGCCTCTGAATATAGAGGTTCCCCTCAGCCACTATGGCTAATAGCCATTGATAGACTTAACTTCCATGAATCTGTCTAATCCCCTTTTAAAGCTGTTAATTCCTGTGGCCATCACTACATCCTCTGGCAGCAAATTCCACATTTTAATCACTTTCTGTGTACAGAAGTATTTCCTTTAGTCCATCAGCTTCATTTGATGCCCTCCAGTTCTAGTATTTGGGGAGAGGGAGAACAATTTCCACCTGCAAGAACTCTGGTTCCCAAGCAGCCAAGGGGAAATGTTTCTCCGAAGGTGTTAATTTAACTGATAGATACACGTAGACCTAAGGCTTTTGGTTTCGGGACCCAACTGCGATGATAATTAATGTTGTTGTTTTTGTTACTTTCGAAAAAGACAACAACGCAGGATAAATGAATAAAACGAAACCATATGCTTGTTGCTAAATCTGTTCCGATGGGGTGACTTTTATTTATCTCCCGTGAATTTGAATAAAATGAGTTTGTGAAAAATAAATCACTGAAACGGCCACATCCCAGCATCAGCTAAGATATTCCTCTCTACAGCCCCGGGTCTTCTGCGCTAACAAAGCAGCCTTTCCCCCCCTGATTGTACCCATGAGGACATACATCTGCCAGTTGAGGTTAACACTTCATGAATCTGATGATGTGGACTCTTGTGGTACAGCGATTAAAAAAAAAGGCCTTTAACATGACATGAGGCTTTGTTTCTTGCAGCAGCAGATTAAGATAAATTCAATATAAAATGAGGGGCTGGATCCAACCAGATTTTTCACCGGTGGAAAAAAGGAGGAAGGCGTCCCCCTTTGATCACCAAAAAGGCTATGAAAAAGATCATGAGATTTATTGATCATTAAATGTTAAAAAATGTTAAAATAGTTTTTACTGTTACATAATAGACTTTTGAGGCTACTTGATCCTTATATCTTGTTGCTGTTTGTTTAATGCTTTTGATGTTAATTGTTGTTAATGATTATTTTAAAATGAATTAAATTTTTTTTTTAAAAAAAAAACGATCATGAGATCTGCACAAACAAAAGCCACGTGGGGAGGGGCTGGTAGTGACCCCCCCCCCAAAAAGGAGCCAAAGTGAGATTGAGGAAAAAGCCGGCTGGATCCAACCTGAGGTATTTCTAGCATCAGAGAATCCAGGTGTTGCCTTACTCCTTCACTGATGACTGTCACGGTAGCATCAGCGACGTTCATGGTGACTGGCATCCAGTCCTCTCTGCTGGAGGAATCTATAAGGCTTTCGATAGCACTGTTCAGGGTGTCCATACCTGTGATTGCGGAGAAAGAGAGGCGACAGGATCACTATGAGAGAATCACTGAGTTGCGGCTGACTGAGTACTCCACTTTGGTCCCAGCCCCTGTTCAGCAGGTTCACTGGCTGATACTGAACCACAGGCTCACTCAGGGTCAATCTGGCCCCGTTCCCATGTGTAGCCTGAATCCATGTGCGAACGTTGATTTGAAAGAAAGAGCCAAGGTATGCTGACCTTAAATGAAACTGGAGACCCACACCTGGACACATGTCGTGTTTAAATCACGCATTCAGCTGTACATGACTGAATGTAACATGAGAATGACTTGATGGACGTATAAACAAAAATTAAGTGTATGTCATGCACAGAGTGTCCCTGTGTACACTATAACTTGCAAACAGGGCAAAGTCAGGCCAACTTCTTGCACAGGATTGTGGGTAAATGGGGGGGGGAAGAGGGATATTCCTTAGCATCACAAATAAACTAAACTAGAGTTTGCAAAGCGGATGAACCTGGTTTACATTTGCGCACACACACACTCCGCCCCAGTGTGGTACACTGAGCCTGAAGCGGAAAAGATTAAACCATGGCTAAGAATTGAAAAGAAACAACCCTCATTTTTTTTAAGGGCTCTGAATTTGGAAGGTACAACAAACTGGAGTTTGATGTAAGACTTCTATTTTCAATCTTGGCCCATGAGCTAATGCGGGGGGCGGAAGGAGTGCTAAGCCAGGTTGATTCCCCCAGGCACAAATCCACTCTGATTTGCTAGTGATGCCTGAACAGAGCTTTGGCAAAATGGCAGGATGAACATAATTAGTGATCCTATGAATATAAAAGGGAAGCAGTCGCTTTTTATTTAAAAATGGAGAACTTAGAAACAATGGCGGCATGAGCATGGCTACTGGATCCAGTTCACTTGTGCTGCAAAAGCAAACAGGAGTCCAACAGCACCTTAAAGACAGAACAAAATTCATGAGTCGTTTTGTCCACCAATTGAAGCAAGCTCTGGGTCTCAAAAACGCATCCTGGAATGATGGCTGCGAGTCTTCACGATGCCCTGCCTGGACTCCTGTTTCATTTTGCTGCAACAGACTAAAAGGGTTACCTTGTCTGGAACGATTTGCGTTTGCGGCTGTCTGTTTTGCTGTGGAAACACCTAGCGTGCCCACTCTCTCCACTGATCAACCTGGTGCATTCTTACTTTGAAAGCACACTTATTTGGGACAGGCAGGCTGGCAAACACTGAATTTGGTTGCCTTAGGAACGCTGGCTGGGATCCAGCGAGTTACTTCAGGTTGTGCTCAAAGGTCAGGCGAGTCTGCCGGGACTTTCCACAGCTTGGGCCCGGTGCTGCTCCTGGATTGCCTGGTGAGGGTGGTGGCTGGCAAGCAGCACCTCTTGGGCCGCTGTGCCCCTTTGAGGAAAGACCAGATCTGGACATCGTCTCAGTGGTGTCCAGATCAGATTACTCTAACGAGTTCTGCCCAGAGCTGCCGTTCAAGGCTATTAAGAAACTTCAGCTGGGCCAAAACGCGGCTCATAAATGGAGGCCACAGAGTAAATGCAATAGCTTGTTCCCTAGGCCAAGTTCAAGGTGCTTTAAAGCCCTCAACAGTTTGAGGCTGGAATACCCGATGGACGGCATCCTTGCGGTATTACTTTAGCCAGGGGTTATTTCCTGTGGGAGTGCACAGGAGCGGAGCTCCGGCAGTAAGGAGCCCAGGGGGCGGGCACATGCAACAAGCCCCACCCCCTGCTCCCAGCAGCCCTGAGTCGGGCCACGAGGAGCAAGAAGCAGCCAGGTAAACTGCAGAGCCCCCTCCCCCCCCCGCCTTCAGGTACAAGCTCTCCCTCCTCTGTGAGGGTAGATCTGCACGTCCCCCCCCCCCCAATAGCTAGCAATCCAAAACAGTCCAGTGGAGCCTGAGCGGTGGGTGTTGCCTTCTGGCACACTTCCGGTGATGTCAGGGGGTGTGGCATATGCAAATGAATTATGCTAATGAGTTATGCTAATGAGCTCCTGCACCTCTTTTTCTATGAAATGACCCCTGACTTTAGCCCCCCTTCCCCCTGCCCCTTCTCAAAAGAATGGCTTCCTCTTCCCTGCCTTCTGAGGCACGATGAGCAGCTCTGTGAGGCAGAGGGTTTGATTCCCCACTCCTCCACATGCAGCTGCTGGATGACCTTGGGCAAGCCGTAGCTCTGATAAGAGCTGTCCTTGAAATAGAGCAGTTCTCTCAAGAGCTCTCTCAGCCCCACCTACCTCTGTTGTGGGGCGGGGAAGGGAAAGGAGTTTGTAAGCTGCTCTGAGACACCTTTGGGTATGAAGGGCGGGGTATAAATCCAATCTCTCCCTCTTCTTCTTCTTCTAAAGGGGTTACCTTTCAGGTGGCAAGCCTCCCCCAGTTTTCGTCTCACAACCACCTCCATGAGGTCAGTTCTGGCGGGAGACAGCAGCCGGGCCAAAGTCACCTTCCGCTTCACGGAAGAGGGCTGCATGGTTGGGTTTCAGCTGGGAAAATCCTGCCACTTCAGGGCGTCTCTTGGTTTAGTCAAGAACTGAATTCTGCCCTCGATTTTATCACCGGACCGCTTTCTTGTATTACCCCTTTTCTTCTCTGTACTGTTTATCAGTCACAGTTTTCACTTGTTTGTAATTATTTTGTTACGGCCTGACCTGGATGGCCCAGGAAAGCCCAAACGCGTCCAGTCTTGGAAGCTAAGCAGGGTCCTCCCTGGCAAGTACTTGGATGGGAGACCTCCAAGGGATACCTGGGCGGGGACGCGGAGGCCGGCAACAGCAAGCCACCTCTCTGGAAACAAAGGAAGAGCAGTTAAGGACAACCAAAATAAAGCTGTGATTTAATGACTCAGTGTTCAAAGTGGCGAGTTTCTCTCTTCTCTTACTGTGGATTTTAAGAAGTATTGTTATGTTTCAGTGACTGCCAGGTTTGCCTTGAGAGAGGACGGAAACGGGGATCTTTAGCTGGTCCACTGGGAGCCTTGACAGTCGCTACGCTTGGACTTGGGGGGGTGTCGCCTAATATGCAAAGGAGTTCCTGCTACAAAAAGAGCCCTGTAATACGTACACGAGAAGAAACTGATAAGGAAATGATTAGAACTGAGCTATGACACGAGTTCTTTATTGAAAACCTTTATCTGTTATACCCTTTGCATGTAAACGTTTGTATGAATGTGCTCGGTAAGCAATGCAACTGACTACACAATGTTACACTGAGTAATTATATCACGGCTGTATTTTGGTTGTTCTTAACCTCTCTGATAATGTCCCAGCCCCGCCAGGAGTCACCAGAAGTCCCCATGACTTCCAGGCTTGCAAGCGCACATGCACACACAAATACTCACACACACAAAAATTATTTTGTTACCTAGTTGTTAACTGCCTTTGTGGGTCCTTGACAGAGGAGACAACTGACAGCGCCACCCAAAGCAGAGTGACGCCCTTCTGAGCAATGCTCCCGCTAAGCTGTGGAGTCTTGTGAGCAAAAATTCCACTTTGTGAGCTCCTGGCATTAAAGTGGTGAGCGAGCCATTTGACGGCTGCATAAATTAGTTTGCTCTGGAGCCCTCCTCCCTGAGCTAGGGCAAAAATGTGTGAGCCGGAGGCTGAAAAACTGTGAGCTGGCTCACGCGAACTCAGCTTAGAGGGAGCATGGCTTCTGAGTCCCCTGACTCCAAAGGACTTTGAAGGGTGTCACTCTGCTCGGGGCTGTCCGAGGCGCGCATCTATCAATGATATCCAGTACAAAATTGAGTTTAGTTAAATGTTGATTATATATTTGTTCTTGATGATTGATGTATAGATTATGTTGTTATTAGTACTAGCTAATTTTTGTTAAAATTGAAGTGGTTTTATCTTACTTTAACAGTTGTATGCATTTTTAATACTTCAATAAAAAAGTGTTGAAAATAAAAAATAGATCAGCTGCAGCAGGCCCAGGCATCACCGGTTGGACCACAGCATACCTCATTGAGCAAGGAAGCCCCTAGAGTTAGCTCCATCTTCCATGCGTCATGTGTCCCTGAAGCCCAATATGAATCAGACCACATCCCTTAATATAAGGGAATGTAAACTACCGCCCTCTGGATCCACATTCGTGGCCGCTAACAAGATCAGGCATCCTTTCGTCCCTCCCGCACTCCGTCCGCGGATAGCATTTAACTCTCAGTTGTTGTTGGGGGGGGGGGGACACATTCAAAGCAGTTATGAGCCAAGATGCAACATACCCACTGGCTTAGTGACTGGAACCATGCCCAAGTACTGTACATGGAACTTCTGCACCAGCTCAGTCTTTGGTGTTGGGAAATCTACTGCACCGGAACAAAACAAAACAAATAAATCAATTTTAGCTTATCAACATTCACGGCAGGCAAAACACTCTTACTTCAGTGATAGAAGAAAGTAATTTAACAAGGAATCGATCTCCAGGGATACTCCTATGGATTCCAATAAATCTGTGCTCCTGCCACCTCGTATCAACAAGGAACCAAGATAATTTCTGTGGAAATTAAGGAGGGGGGGTGGGGGAAACAGGGTCGTGTAACAGCCTGAGGGCTGACAGAAGCTGGCTGAAAGACGTCTCAGTGTTCACGGGGTTCTCACCCATGTTCGGCACAGGGAACGAGGGCAGGGAACACGCAGGAGGGACAAAACTGAAGCTCCGGCATCTCCAGTTAGAAAGATCTCCGCCAGTAAAGGCTGAAGGACTCTGGATTGTGCCTTTGAGAACTTTGGTTCCTGGGGATGATGGGGGGCACTGTTATTGGGCAACTAAATGTAAGTGGGGAGGGTTAAACGTTCCAAACGTTTGACACAGTTCATAAGAAGCACAAAGATGAAAAGACTGCATGCAGAAAGCTAGTTGGAGGGTCTCCTCTCTTGGGTTTTTAGTCAGTAGTGGGTTCTTTACTTTTTCCTTTATATGTAGTTTCCCCCCCTCCCTTTTTCTGTTGTCGTTTTTGTAGTGTTAAAAAAAGCCAATAAAAAATCCCCTTGGGGGCTCAAAAAAAAAGAAAAAGAAAAAGAAAGATCTCCGCCAGGAGAGCTGGATGGCCCGGTGGTTCCAGTCAGTGTTCCCTCTAAGCTGTGGAGTCCTGTGAGCAAAGATTCTACTTTGTGAGCTACTGGCATTAAAGTCGTGAACAGGTGGTTTGGCCACGGCGTACATTAGTTTGCTCTGGAGCCATCCCTTCCTGAGCGAAGACAAAAATGCGTGAGCCGGAGGCTAAAAAAACTGCGAGCTAGCTCACACGAACTCAGCTTAGGGGGAACACCGGGACTCCCAGTATAATGCAGCTTCATACGCGTGAGGACCGGCACTCAACGTTTACATACAGCCAGGGCGTCAACCAAGTTTTTGATACTTATGCCAGTCAATGGAACCCGTGCCACGGTTGGCATGGAAAGTGCTAGAGGTATTTAAGGCAAAAGAAAAAGAAGAAGACTGTACTTGGTTTACTATGTTTTTTAACACAAATGGTCAGGGGCAGGTTGGGGGTGGAGCCAGACTAAATCTGCCAACAGCCGAATGCATGCAGCTCTCTGGCCTCCCCTGCTCCTGCCCACTGTTCTCCACAAAATGCTGTTCCTGGTGGATGGGGGACTCTGAGGAATGACATGGGTGTGTGTGTGTGTGGGGGGGACCTGGAGGAGCTTGCCCATTTATGTCAGGACAAACCAGTGGGTTCTAGATCAAATCAAGCCTGAACTCTCCCTAGACACTAAAAGGACTCAACTGAGGCTTTCATACTTAGGTCATATTAGGAGAAGTCAAGATTCACTGGAAAGGACGATACTGCCAGGAAAAACTGAAGGCAGCAGGAAAACAGGAAGATCCAACAGGCGATGGAAGGACTCAACCAAGCCAACCACGGCTCACAGTTCGCAAGACCTGAGAAAAGTTGTTTTTGGGAGGACATTAATTCATAGGGGCACCATATGTTGAAAGGGACTCGATGGCACTTCAAACTCAAACACACACACACACACACACACACACACACACACACACACACACACACACAAGTCTGGATCCAACACTGGCCATTTAGCTTATAAGAAAAGTCCTGGTGGACCTCTGGCAGCCAGGCGCTAACAAAGCCAGCCTCTCTCAGTCACTCTGGTAGTGCTGGAGGCGCTGCTTGGCTCCAGCTCTTCAGTTGTAAAGATAATTGGGGTCAGCTGACCAACACCTCTCCTCTCACCCCACTGCCCACTGGGAAAGGTATGGGATGAGGCAAGCCAATGCACACGGCCAGCACCGTTGGCCGGGTTTGAGCTAAGCGGCCCCAAGAACTACGGGGGTCCATCGACTTGACTTCTCCGCTTGCTTTCCCCAGAAGTTTTTTCTTTTAATCAAATTGTAGTTAAACTACAGACTGCTTAATAACCTAGGTTCCTTCCACCATCTCTCCCCCCTCCCCCCGGCGTCCTGTCACCTTCCTTGCGATTTGTTTAAATCAGATTTCTTAATGTACAGAAAATCCAAATACTTAGATCTACTGTAATTTGTCTGAATAGCTTTTTTTAAAAAGACCAAGGTGGTCACGCCTCTACACTGACCAGCAGTGAAGGTTTTCAAAAGAACTGATTCAGCATATCTTGTATGTGTATGCATACCACGCACACGCACACACACACGCACACACACACACACACTTCATCATGCCATAAATAATACAGCTTTGAGAGTTTTCAGTTGCTGTTTTAACATGATTAGCAATCACTGATTAGACACTGTGCAAAAGAGGGGAGGGTCCATGGCTCTATGGCAGAGCATCTGCTTGGCACGCAGAAGGTCCCAAGTTCAATCCCTGCAATCGCCAGTAAGGATCAGGTGGCTGTAGAGGATGTGGAAGACCCTGGAGACCCTGAGACCCTGGAGAGCTGATGCCAGTCGGAATGGACAATACTGATGTCAATGGACCAATGGGGCAGCATAAGCCCCATAGCTAGGGAATTTTGGGGGAGAGGGCCTCCGGGGGTCCTGCAAGCTAATTAAATGAAAGTATTGTGCAGGTGGTAAGTTGGAGCAATTTGGGGGCAGTCCGGGAGGGAGGGGGCCCAGAAGAAGCACTAGGGGGCCAGGCCCCATGGGCCTCATGTTAGCTACGGGCCAGGGCAGCATCGTGCATTCAAGATAACATTCCAAACGGAGGGTACCTTGCAAGGGCACATCAAGGGTGGCATTCGTCCGCTCAGGCAATGAGCTGCAAGCGACGGCTTTGGCGTTCTTCCGTTCAGCCATAATCTGGAGAAGATGGCAATAATGCAGACTTTATTCCTACATACAATACAGTAGCAGCTATGAACATAAATCTGACTTGTACCAAAAATCCTGATTTTTAAAGTTAGAGATGATATGGTTTATTTTAAAAAAGCACTCCCCCCCCCAGCCAGATTTCTTTAATCAAATTGCAGTTTTTACTAAGGATTGGTGAAGAGAGTAGTGTAAATCTCATCTAAACGGGGGGGAGGGTGTATTTCTGGGCAAATGTGTATCTGACCAGGTTGCAGGCATTTAAACTCGCAGCTGCACAACTTTTGGAGATCTAAATCCACAGCGTAACATAATATTTAAATAGCCAATGGGGAAGATGGCCACAACCGCTTGGGAAGCTTCGTTTCTGCCCTGAAGATGACCCCCAGCCAAATTTCTTTAATCAAATTGCAGTTTTTACTAAGGATTGGTGAAGAGAGTAGTGTAAATCTCATCTAAATGGGGGGGGGTGTATTTCTGGGCAAATGTGTATCTGACCAGGTTGCAGGCATTTAAACTCGCAGCTGCACAACTTTTGGAGATCTAACTCCTCAGCGTAACATAATATTTAAATAGCCAATGGGGAAGATGGCCACAACCGCTTGGGAAGCTTCGTTTCTGCCCTGAAGATGAGTGTCATCATTATAAAATGTTGCCCCAACCATATAGGTTAAAGGATAAACATGATATGAGACCGTTTGTTCTTCTGAGCGGCCCAGTCCTTTTGAGCAGCGCAGGAACATCTGTAGGAGCATTGCACTGCCACATTGCAACAGGGTGCTGTAAACTGACAGTGGACTGCAGCAATGCTATAGCAAGCATTGAACTATGCTACAGCTGTCATGGTGCTCTGCAGCAGAGCAGATGTGCACAAAACTTTGACGTAGTGCACCAAAATGCGTGTATCTGTGTGCATGGGCATGCATGTGTACATGTGTGTATGGTGGACATGATGGAGAGGACTGAACTACGGGCAACTTGTGCGCCATCTTAAGAGCCTTCCTGCTTCTCCTCGAGGCATTTATGTTGACACAAGAGTTCACATGTTATTCTAAAGGCATGGCAGATCTCTCCAGCCCAACGGCCTCCCATATGATGTTGTCAAAAAAACAAAAGAACAGAAGAAGAGCCCTGCTGGAACAGACCAGTGGGTCCATCTAGTCCAAAGCACTAGAAACAAGAAAGCTGTAATCATGCGCTAGGAACTGTCTATGGGATGTATTTATAATATAGTGTCAATCAATATTGTAACAAATTATATATACAAAGTGCAAAAGGGGTCCAAATCACAATTGTAGTTGACGAAGTTCTCCAGATTGTCGTTTCAAGAAAGCTTAATCTGAACAGGACCATATATAACAATGATGTGTCTTCTATTCTTTGTAGAACGAAATGACAATAATTCTAATGCTTCATGGAAGAATTTCCTCATTGACCATATCGATAAATGATACATTTAAAGTGGGCCATCCGGCATCCTGTCTCACACAGTGGCCAACCAGTTCCTCTGGATGGCCAACAACAGGGCATAGAGGCCGATGCCTTCATAAGAGAGCCCTGCCGGAACAGAGCAGTGGGTCCATCTAGTCCGGCATCCTGTCTCACACAGTGGCCAACTAGTTCCATGACTCTATCTAATCCAATTTTAAAGCTGTTTATTCCAGTGGCCATCCCTCCATCCTCTGGCAGTGAATTCCACATTTTAATTACTCCCTGCGTTAACGGTCAGCTCAAGTTGTCCAAATATAGCAGGTTTACATGTGGGGGACTGCTGCGTGGTGAGAAGACAGCAAATCTTTACAGAACCCCAGGAATGCCCTCTGTTTGCCCCTCTGTCACTCAGTCCCAGGCTCCAGGCGTGCACGGCCAGTTCTCAGCCAATTAGCGCATTGTTTGAGATCCTGCTTAAGGCGCTACACAGGCTGCCTGTGGGAACCCATCCCTCGGACAGGGGCTGATGCTTTCTTACAATTAAACAGAAGCAACTGAAAAAAAAACTAGGCAAGGCTCGCGGTTTTCGGATCTCGCTGGTTGACGGGGAACAGCCCAGACCAGTGACTGGCAAGTAGTCCTACAGGTTGGCATCTCAAGTCTTCGGGGCGCAGCAAGCTTGCCTTTGCTTGATGCTGCATTGTTGTGTCACCAGCACCCTGCTTCTCACGTTTTGTTACACCTTAATAAGCACCACTGTCATTGCAAGTGGTTTGTTCTCTTCCTGGGTATCCTTGTTGTTGTTCAGTCGCACAGTCGAGTCCAACTCTTCGCGACCCCATGGACCAGCTCCCGCCAGGCCCTCCTGTCTTCCGCCGCCCTCTGAAGTTGGCTCAATTTCATGTTCGTTGCATCGATGACACTGTCTAACCATCTCATCCTTTGCCGTCCCCGTCTTCTTTGACCTTCAATCTTTCCCAGCATCAGGGTCTTCTCCAGTGAGTGCTCCCTTCTCATTGGGTGGCCAAAGCATTTGAGCTTCAGTTTCATTATCTGGCCTTCCAGGGAACAGTCATGGTTGATTTCTTTTAGGATTGACTGATTTGATCTTCTTGCAGTCCAAGGGACTCTCAAGAGTCTTCTCCAGCACCATAGTTCAAAAGAATCTACCCCATGGACCAGATCACGCCAGGCCCTCCTGTCTTCCACTGTCCTCTAAAGTTTGATCAATTTCACGTTCGTTGCATCTATGACACTGTCTAACCATCTCATCCTTTGCCGTCCCCGTCTTCTTTGACCTTCAATCTTTCCCAGCATCAGGCTCTTCTCCAGTGAGTGCTCCCTTCTCATTGAGTGGCCAAAGCATTTGAGCTTCAGTTTAATTATCTGGCCTTCCAGGGAACAGTCACGGTTGATTTCTTTTAGGATTGACTGATTTGATCTTCTTGCAGTCCAAGGGACCCTCAAGAGTCTTCTCCAGCACCATAGTTACTACGAACCGAAAAACAGAGTCTAGCAGGCCCCGACTCTCAAGTAAGATGAGTGGCTCCGGCTATTCCCTCTCCCACTCTGCCTTTTGATTGGGAAAGACATCACACTCATTTCCCTCGTGATTGGTACGCCTCCTAATATTTCATCCTATCGTTAGGGCAAGACGCAATGAAATGGCTGGAGGTGGAACTGATGGTGCCTTAGCACTTGGGAGGGCAGGAGGGAGAGGCAAGGACGCCGCTTCAGAATGGTGGTGGTTATGTAGAGGCCCTTGACGAAGTTCGAGAGAAAGGGGAACAGAAAGCAAACTTACCTTAGAACAGATTTCGTGCAGACTTGTGGCAATGGCTTTTGCTGGTGTGTCACATCGAAAGACGTGGCATTTCAAAATCCGCGTGTCTTTGTCTCTCGCCACATAGGCAAAGTCTCTGTGTACAGAAAATGTATTTAAATCATTTATTCATTTCGTGAGACTTGTATCTCGCGTATGTCTACAGTAATGCAGATCTGCCGTTAAAACAGATTCATAATTTACAGTCAAGATTTGCAAATGAAGTAGGTTTACCATAAAACAAATAAGGCACATTATAACGATCCGTTTAAAATCAATAAAATCACCACAGACTAAAACAATAACGCGCCCCAACGGATTAATTGGCGCATTCGAATCAACAGCCTAAACAAACAAAAAGACCGGGTTCAAACGCAGATTGCCAGAAGACACTTTTGAACTCTCGGGCTCTGTTCAGATATCATGCGAAACCATGGTTTATTTTAACCGGGGTTAGTTTGCGAAAGTAGGACTCCACTTCCAGATCACCACTCAGCTCCAGAAAGGTTGGTTTCACAGTTTTCTCTTTGTAGCTTGGGAGGGCATTGCCAAGGAGCAAGCCAGGATTGAACCGGCTGGTCTGTGTTTTTATACATCAAGCAGAACCCAAGTTAAAACTAACAGTGTTTAATGAACCAGCTTCAAACCCTGGTTCCAGAGCGTGTGTTTTGACGGGCCCTTAATGACCCATCACGAGTGGAGTGACCTGCACTCCATCATGCTAACCAACGTCCGTTTAATGAAACCATGGTCTCGTGGCAACGCTTGAGCTGAGCCTCCAGATCCAGTTCTATTTCTGCTCATTAGGGGTGGCTGAAGTGATTCTCTTTGCCCGCCTACCTGTGGAGAAGACTGGCAGAGGAAAAGAAGAAGAAGAAGAAGAGAAGAAGAGATTGGATTTATACCCCGCCCTTCACTACCCAAAGGAGTCTCAGAGCGGCTTACAAACTCCTTCCTCTCCCCGCCCCACAACAGACACCTTGCGAGGTAGGCAGGGCTGAGAGAGCTCTGACAGAAACTGCTCCAGAACTATGGCTTGCCCAAGGTCATCCAGCCAGGTGCAAGTGGAGGAGTGGGGAATCAAACCGGGTTCTCCCAGAGTAGAGTCTGCGCACTTAACCACTACACCAAACTGGCTCCCGGTGACATTTACAGGCCTGCTCAGAATTAAATTTCAGAAATGCAGTGTTATTTTAAAAGCGTTTCTTGTGGTTGATTTTTGAGCATTTTTTGATCTTTCTTTCCTTATCCTGGCATGTCTGCTGCCAGGCAGTCCTCAGTGGTTTGAGGCTGGCATGCATGCAGAAAAATGGGCTTTCACAATACTTGGGAGTGGGAAGAGGCGTATTTGCCCCTCTCCACAATTGCTCATCTAGGCCTCATGTCCTGCCCAGCCTCTTCCAAGGCAACACCTAGGGATGGCTGAATGAACTACTGAACTGTTGCCTCTAGATTGTCCTTTCGCGTGCACACACAGGTTTCTGATCAGATGCAATTTTTCCTTGACTGCGTTTCCGGTATGACACACTATGAATATCAATTGGTATACGTGCACACCGATGCCATGGGTCCCTTTGCTTGACAGGGAGTGTGTGATGCTTTGACATTTGTTGACGATGTTGCTAGGGTTATTATGCAATGTTCAAAATCAAATACAAGAAACGCTTTTAAAATACACTGCGTTTCTGAAATTTAATTCTGAGCAGGCCTGTAAACGTCACCGGGAACACCTTCCCCTCCGACCGTCAAAAAGTCAACAAGCCCTCCCTACCCCCCCCCCAAAAAACAAAAAAACAAAATGTCATCCAAGCAGCCCCCATTACCCTCAATTGCCTGCCTGGAGGCCTGAGGCGCAATGCACCATACAGCCGGCAACCCACTAATAAGCACACCAGCCAAGCTCATCCATTTGCCACATTTTAGAAGGCAGAGGGACTCCATTGGCAGATTCCCTCCCCTTTGCGGCCAGACAAATTTATTAAACACAAGTTGGGGGGGGGGGGAAGGGATACATCCCAGCCACCATCCGCCACCCAATCATCCATCACCATTAGCAATCCAATGTGGATCTTTCCTTCCGGCAAGGTCCCGATGACGGGGACTTCAATAATTAATCAAATCAATGAGACAGTTTGGGGAAAACCTATTACCACAGTTCACAAGCCTGTTTGACTGAAGCAGGGCTTCTGTTCGAGTCTCGGTGGAGAAGATCAGCCAGGTTTATATCAAAAGACATTTCTCCCATGTGAACCGTAAGACAGTTCCACATCCCCTCTGCCCGGTGTCTACAAGGTGTGTGTTCATGTCAGCCATAATCTCTCATGAAGAGGTCAAGAAGATATTGTCTTTCCAGAGCAAGAAGCATTCAGTCTTGAACACGCTGCTACAATCTTCCTCTTTGCCCTCTTTTCCTACTTCTTTACTTTGGAATACTCCACGGGTCACTGGCTCCATTACCCTGAATTCTATTCACACTGAGAGAGTTCCCGGTCAAATTGTTCAGCTGCTATGGGGGGAAAGCTGCTTGCTCCATGCTGGAAAAACTGCCTTCTGCTCCGTGGTTGTTTTTTTTTTTGTGAAGCAGGGGAATCAGACTTATTTGCCTTGCCAAACTACCCTTCCGCCAAGGAGCTCAGGGTGTCTGTACAGGGGCATGCCCTGTTTTATTCGGGAATAAACAACAACCATGAGAGGTCAAGTTAGGCTTAGGGTTGCCAAGTGTATCTTTGCCGGGAGCAGGGGGCTCCCGGCCGGCGTCTGGTGCGTGCGTGCAAACGTGCGCACATCACCCGGAAGTGATGGGAGGACGCCAGGAACGCTGGGGACAGGGCCACGGCCATACAAGGGAAAACCATAGTTTTCCCTTGTATGGCCGTGGCCCCGCCCCCAGCGTGCCCGGCGTGCCCACGTCACTTCCTGGTGACGTGCACGCAGGGGTGGGGTTTCCCCCGGGGCCCGATTCCATGGCGTCGGAAACCGGGCCTCCAAAGCGGGGGTTTACCCGCAACCCGCCCCCACTTGGCTGTCCTAGTTAGGCTGACAGAATGACTAAGGTCACCCCCCCACAGAAAATAAAGGATGAGCATGGATCTGAACCCAGGTCTTTCCAGGACTAAAATTTATTCAGTACACCAGGCGGCAAAGAACTTCCACTGACTGAGTACTTTACCACTGGGGCTGTGTTACTGCTTGATGAAATACCAGCCGTCACTAGAGGAACAGCTAGCTTCTGTGCCCAGGTGATTAAACAGAAGAATAGTTTAAATAGGAGCCTCGCTTTCTGATTTTGAGGAGCCAATGTATTAATGACCATAATTTTATTAATATATGTAATTGTTGGATTAGTTCAATTATAAACTGGATGTACATTTTTATAGTATATTTATGGCAGATTTCTATTGCATCCTATTTTTGCATCCTATTGTATTGTATCCTATTTTTTTATCTGGTCTATGACTCTTCTAATAACAAACAAACAAACAAACACTGGGGCTGTGAGACTGAACCTGGCAACTAGTAGGAGTGTTGGGGACGGGGAAGCGGGGATCAACTACATCACTTCCGAGATTTCCCCAGAAGTGATGTAGTGATGCAGCTGAGGTAACTTTTCAATTCTTTCCCCTCCTGCTGGTGCTTGGAGCGGTGGTGGGTGATGAAGGGTGCCCACAGAAAGCCTCCTGCCACACCGGGAGGCCTGGCAGAACTATTCACCGGGGGAAAGGAATCCTCCTGCATCCTAGGCCAACCAGGAGCAGGCTGGGGCTCACATCCGGGAAGGACATTTCTATGAGTATGCTTGATGGACTACACGGTCGGGGAAAGTTTTTGGGAAAAGAGAGACAGGAAGGGTTTCGGGGTGGTCTTCTCCTTTATAAGCTTCCCAAGGACAATTCTGTCGGACTACATGGACCTTGGTATGATTCCACAAAGTTATTCTTTGGAATAGCTCCTCGTCCATGACTGAAGAGGAAAATGGAGGTCGCAGTAACAGGATGCATCCTATTGAGACTTATTTCAGGATATAGGACAAAAGCCCATGTAATTGGTCTTGAGTAGGGTTGTGCACACACACACACACACACACACACACACACACACACACACACACGAGGTATTTTTCAGGTTCGGGTATACCAAACCTGAAGAATATTGGTATCCTTCCTTCCTTATAATAAAAGCGATTTGGGGGGGCCACATAAAATGCGCTCCCTCAGCCATTGGCCTGTCAGCGCCTCGGTCCCGCCCACAGACCCACCGGCCAGCCTCTCACCCACAGTCTACAAGGAGCCACCGGTGGGGATGGATGCTTCCCAGGGGGACTGACTGGCCTCGGGGACGAAGGACACGGCTGCGCCACGCTCCCCTGCGCCGCGTGACCTGCCCCAGGTGGTCCGCAGGACCTCCTTCTGGGGAGACGAGCAGGAGAAGGCTCCCAGAGTCCCCTCCTGCCCCTTCCTGGCCCGCTCGCTGAGGCTGCCGAGCTGGGGAGGGAGCGGGGGGCTTTCCAGCCATCCTCCTTCCTTCTCCTGCCTGCCTGGCGCCCACCGAGATGGGCGAGCAGGAGAAGGCTCCCAGAGCCCCCTCCCGCCCCTTCCTGGCCCGCTTACCAGGGCAGGCGAGGCGGGGGGCCCTTTCAAGGCCTCCCCCTTGCTTTTCCTGCCCGCTCACCAAGGAGCATCACCAGGACCCCGCACTCGCCCAGGCCCTCTTTCTAGACCCTTTTGCATTCACTTCCGCAACGGGGCTTCCTCCTAGTATTCCCGAATTTGGGAAATAATCAGTATTGCTCCATAGTTTCCCTTCCCGAGTTGCACTGCAGCCGTGGAATGCCTCAGCAATAAAAGAAGAGAAGAAGAGAAGAGATTGGATTGGATTTATACCCCGCCCTTCACTACCCAAAGGAGTCTCAGAGCGGCTTACAAACTCTTTTCCCTTCCCCTCCCCACAACAGACACCCTGTGAGGTAGGTGGGGCTGAGAGAGCTCTGACAGAAACTGCTTTTTTTCAAGAACAGCTGTGCCAGAACTACGGCTTGCCCAAGGTAATCGAGCCAGGTGCAAGTGGAGGAGTGGGGAATCAAACCCGGTTCTCCCAGAT